AGGTAAAGAGAGAGGTACGACAAGAGGGCCCGGCAGCACCTCAACCCACCTCAACTTCGGGCCTAGTCAAGGTCAGTGTGGCAGGACCATCCGTTCCCCTCTTCTTCCTTCTCCTCGTCACCTCGTCTGGTTTCTTTTCTTCCTATTTGCGCGTTCAATTCTCTCTGTCTCTCTTTTTCTCATCCGTTTGGCTTCTACCATCCCTACCCCCCTTCGACGGGGTCCGTACCGCATTATCGCGTCATACCGTGCTAGGACCCACGCCCTTTCCCGTGCCGTCGCAAATGCTTTTTTTATATTTTTTTTCTTGCACGAACCATCTTACGATCCTGCGAAATCCCAATTAGTGAAGATACCCGTGTGATAGAACGTCGGCGAATAGCGTAGCGGGTTATCGTCGGACACGTGATAATTCGTACGACTGATTGAATCACAAGAAGTACGATTGACTGATGTATAATAGCTGCGAAAGTTTCGAGCGAAAGGTCGCGCGAAAATTCATTTACTATGGTATCGCCACTTGATATCAAGTTTAACTAATTGTCACTATTTAACTTTATTGTAAATTTTTATACACTACATTACATATGTATACTTTGCAGCTGAGAAGGTTGAATTTTTTCTCGTGAATATTTGCCAACCATTAAAATTGGCATAATTAAAATGTATTATTAAATGTCAATTAAACGAGTTTAATGCGTTATTACAGAAAAAAACTCTCTCAATTAATTCAAGAAACATTCTTCAACGCAACAAAAATGATCTAAACCTGACATTTGAGCAAAGTCGGATCTGAATATCATGTGCAGACTCTGGTTGAAAACTCAAATCCTTTGGAGTTAATCCGGGCGTTCGATCCGGCATACATTGAGGGCCAAATAGCTGCCTCGAGTATATCAGGCAAAATAAAAAGGAGGACCTATTTATCTTGACGCCCGCGATCGTAAAGAAAGGCCTTTCGAGGATACTCACGGGGGATATCTGATTCATCAGCTTCATTCATCAACGTCGACCGCTTCTGTTTCTTTCATTTCTTTGAAACTGTACACGGTTTCTCTAGTGCATGAGCAACGTGCGGAAGCACTGGCGTTGTTAGGTGAGTCGGGCGGATAGAGCACTTCGGTGATGATGAGACCAGTCGAGAGTTCATTTTCAACTGATTTTGTTAACACGGTTTGCGCAGCGCGAAGAAGCATTACGATTCAAATCGACGAAAAATCAGCAATTATTCAGAGAATATTATTTCACATTTTATCAGATGTATCTAACAATATGCTATGAAAAAAATAATATCATTTATGAAATTCTTAGAAAAAGAAGAAAAATAAAAAATTAAGAAAGAAAAAGAAGAAAAATAATGAATTAAAGTGTGTATAAAAATTTGTCATTTTTGTATGAAACTTGTTGTTACCTTTTTTAAATAAAAATTAATCAATTTCTTTGAGCGGTAATTATCATAGATATTGCTATATTCAAATAAGAAAAAAAGCGTCGACTTGCTCAAAGAACTAACAAGTCTTTAATTGTAACTACAATCTCTTGAGATTGCTTATTCATGTTGTTCTATTTTTCTCCAATTTACAAACGCCAAAGTTGCATTTGATAATGCTGCATTTGTACTGTAGATGCATCTCGGAATGTCTGGCGATAATGATCAACGTTGAAGTGGGGTGGGTGTTGACGGAGAGACGGCTCTACGAAGGAAGGATGCGGGGAGAACGAAAAGATAGATAGAGAAACAGAGAAAAAGAAGGAGAGAGAAGGAGCAAAGGTGGTAATTCGAGGCCCGGAGGTGAGTGAGTAAGGTATGCTAGTACTAAATGAGATTGGTTCGCTCTGACCATGCAGGACAACTTTTCGGTCCTACTCAGCCCGTCTAAGTCCTTTCCTCATCCTCGATGAGACCCACTCCACAGCATCTCCCTACCATCGCAGCCGGCCTCGGCGGTGTCGAAGTTCCATTACCGGCGACGCCCGATCCGAGCTTCCCGCCATTTTAAGAAATTCGGCAATTTACATTTATTCTGTCCGGGTGGAGATTTTTATGTTCGCTGCGCGCCGCGAATAATCGTTACCGTTACAAGAAACGATCGTAAAGATTCGCGCTTTCAGACAAGTGTAATGTGTATCGCGATGTAACAAACGACTTGAAAATGCTCGAGAGACAATTCGCCAATTTAATTATCGTTGGGAATTTATCTGAGTTACACACAAGTAAAGATGGCCTGCCATTAAAAGTAAGGCCGGCTAATTAATTGTCTTATTTATCATAATTTAAAAATTTCTTTTGTTTTTGTGTGATTGTAACATTTAAAGATGTATTTAATTTTATAAAAGAAACTGTTGTCTATAGAAGAAAAAATTCGATAACCATGCTACTTTTATTAACTATGTATTTTTAATATGTGGTATGTTATAGTTTGCTAACCCATCTTACAAAGTGTATGACACACAGACATAATCTTTCCCACTTCATGGTTTCAAATATATTGGTGCCGAACTTGTTGCACCGCTTCCAATGGCATCAGGTTACTGAGTTCTCTTTCTTTCCTCAAGAAGTTCTGGTTCTAAATGCGCCAAATGTATTCTTTGTTCGGTTGGAATGTAGAAATCATGTAACTGACCAGTCACATTTTTGCTCGATTGAATAAAAATATTTGAAATGTCACATAAAATATAATCTTTACCTTATAAAGCTATAAATATCGGTTTTTATATATTTTAATAGAAAGTTTTTGCAATATAGTTTTAAAAAAGTTACCATACTAAATATTATAAAAATATGCCTAATTATTTAGTATAACAATTCTTTAATTAAAAATTATTTATAATAAATTGATTACATTACTAATATTTAAGTAAACAACGGATTATTATTTTATATCGTGTTGTTTTAAAAATTGAAAAACCTCTTGACACACTATTACTATTGCTTTATTAACTATTCGTTGAAAAATTATAAAAGAAGCTCCGCGTTCTGACAGGGATCGCAAGATCCGCAGTGCCCGCTCCTTCGGGACGTATCTAATTGCCCGCAATTCCCGTCTTCCGGGTACGACGTACGTGAGCCCGCATTAATTGCCCTCGGGCGACGCGCATCTGCGTTCGTAGTTGCGACGTGCGTGATACGTCGACTTCAAAGTTGTCACGACTATATGTACCAAGAAGAACGATGCAACGATTTCAATTGTCCGCAATATGGCCGCCGGCTTAGCTTCTTGACTAGGCCTCATAGTCGTTATCCTTGAGAACGCGCCGTGCATCTCCTTCGTTTTGTTTCAGCGTACGCGGATGGAGCGGGCGGAAAGCCGACGAGTGAGAGAGCGCGGAAGGAGAGACGGGTTAGTAGAAGGAAAAGAGGGACGAAGGTAGTCGAGGAACCACGCCACAATGAGGACCCGAATGTTGCAAAACCGCCTATGTGTTTGTGACGATACCGACCGACTTCTACAAGAAATGATAATTGCTGGTATCCCCATCCCACGTGCCACACAGTTCATGCTGGTCTATCTATTCCCTCTTTCGTCCTATCAGCTTCTTCTGTCCGTAAGATTGGTACTGCGAGAGCTACCCCTTTTCGCAGGAGCCACTAGTTATTAGAGCGAGAAGAGATCCGATAGTATCCTTGAGAATAGTATCCCTCTGTGCCCGTTCAACGAGCGTCGAATTCTCTCGGAAATATAGACCGGTATTTCATTTTGAGACGTTTCCAAGTATGATTACTAATTTTGTTTCTCTCGTTGTTTACCCGGCTTAGTATTCAAACGAGAGTTGCGTGAAGATGGGTAAGCATTAAGAAAAGGTGGTTGAGGTGGAAGAGAAATGGATACGAATGATTTATTACACTTAAATCGCCATTGGTAACGCGAAAATAATGGATGATAGTTTTTTTTTTTTTTTTAACAAAATTCGAAGAACTCAATTCTTATTTCTTCTTTTTTTTCTACTAAACAGGATATCATTTTCTTAGCAAAGTATTAACATATTTGCAGAATTATTATTGATTAGAAAGTTCATTCCAGAAATATTAAAAAATTAGATCATTGCATAGCTATTGGCTGCAGCAATTCGACTTCGAAGTAGTGTTCACTCTAAATTGAACGGTGTTTTTATAAAGCTGGGACCTAATTGCGGAACGGCGGTAAATTTTTTGACGAACCGCTCCCATGAAAAATCACTCGTCAGATATACAATACTGGCCTCTGTAGGGCCAGTCATCGTGATTCAACCGCCAAGAACCATATGTTTCTGACCGACTGCGCTATGGAGTCATTGAGAAAACGGTTGTAATGAGAGACCACCCAATGAGTACTTTGCGCTGATCGGCAAATCAACGGAAATTCGAGTCAAAAACCCCTCATTATGCGCTTCATTATTTTGCAGGTGCAATCTACTCGCGCATAATCGTGTCGTATTTTTTCTCCTTTAGTATTCAGACACGCACTGTTTGCACATCATGTATCCTTAAAATTACTTTGACGTGTGAATTCTGAATATATAATTTATAATTAACACACAAAATATATCACTTGTACACTAATAAATAACTGAATATTTGTTTTATTCTCTAATATTCTTTACATACAAAATTAAAAAAAATATTTTGCTTCCATCATTTTTTATTTATGGTAAATTTTAAATTAATCTCAATCAAAATCATAAAATTATATTGTATAAAAATACAATTATAAAAAAGAACAGTATATCAATTATTTTTATATGGGATAAAATAATATAATTTTTGATACAAGCGATCACGCTACAACGTATCGTTGATCATAAGATAGACTTGCGCTGGTATTTCTCTACCTGACTTGAACTAAGAAGAGAAGTATTATGGCCGCAGTAAAGCATTAAAACAGCCGAATAGTTCTAGAGGCCTCACGGCCTCTGCTCGGTAAGTGGACATTAGCGCCCGCATTGTGAAACGGACCACATCGTCCTTAACTGATGGGAGCCCTGAACAAAGGAAATATAGTTTACATTGCGTAGTCCTGAATATTACATACACAATAAGCAAAAATAATTTCTTTAATTATAATACAGATATATTTATATATTTTACGTCATTAATACATAGACATTAATATTTAGCATTATAATAATAATAATATGTTTTATGGAATTAAATTAATGTCATAATATTTATATTTTAGGAAGTAAAATTAATAAACATATAATAAGAAAAATTAAAAAGATAAGCAGATAGCTAATTATTAAAACTATATCTTATTTGTATGGATTACTGATTATTCAGCACACCCTATACACTTTGGTGCCTATGCCTCCGCGTATACGTATAGAACCTACATTTTACGCTTCGTGGATATTTTCGGGCCTTCTTAGCCCGTTGCTCGACTCAATTTATAGTGGGGAGATTACCAACGCTATTGGTTACTGAGATTGCGTTACCGCGTCTCTGATGGGTAAAGGCATGAGAGGAATTTATTCTGGGTTCATCGAAGAAACGGTGATCCTCGAAGAACTTGCGAGATTGGTTTGCGCTAAAGTGCAGCATTCCACTACAAGTACAACAAAACAATTTAGTCTTAGTGGCAACTCACTCGAATAAATTTCGGCATTACCCGCGCTATTCTCGAAATTTAGTTAGGTGACAATGCAAGTTAAATATAAAATCTCATTTGTTCTCAAACATCCTCTAAAATTAGAGCGAGATCTCCTAATCAAAGATGCATATGAGATACTTATTTATATTTAAAATAATTAAATTCTGCTTTTGAAATCTTGACGTATTATTTTAAAAACTCCAAAGACTGATCGTTCTTCAAATAATAGTAATCCTATAATCGCGTGAAGGAAAATATTAAGTAATCACTAGATTTAAATTTGAGGGTGAACCAAAATAGATTTTTCTTTTTTACAAATATATAAAAATATTTTTTTAAAAAATTCTCTTTAAAAAAAATTGATTTATTTAAAAAACTACAATAATACTTCCGTTCTCTCTCTCTCTCTCTCTCTCTCTCTCTCTCAGAAAAATAATTCTCCTAACTGAATAATTTCTGGACGTCTTCGGCTTTCTCACGCTGGTCCTGCGCGAGGGAGGTACGTTGTCGAGTGCGAGACTTGCACATTCACAGATCAAACAAGTGTAAAGAGGCAGCCAGAGAAAGATTCGCTGCACATTCACGCCGCCACGCATCCTGTCGCCCCTCGTCAAACACCATCGGGTTCGACGCGCGCGGACGGGAGATACTTATCTCGAATCAAAGATGCAAAATCTCGGCTCGAGAGCCGAGAAAGGCCTTCGCTCAGGTAAGATACATTATTTTGAAAGAATTTTGAGATTTATGAGAATACGATCGTTCAAATCCTTAAATTGTTAGAACCAAAGACCAATGACTTTCCCGAAGATTATTGACCGATTTCTTGATGTGATAGTTCACTCGCACATTTGCATCAAAAGAAAAATTACTTCTTTCTCAAATGGTTATGCATCCGAACAAAAGAAATAAAGAAAAGAGAAACAGATATATTGAAAAAGAGAAGGAGACTCTGACAAGGAATTTGAAGTTAAGTTAAAGATGTAATTAAATATTAAAAGTTTAAGAAGACACAAGAATATATAAAAAAAGAATTAGAGAGAGAACAAGAGATTAACTTCAGTAATGTGATATCAATAAGATGTGCGATATATGCAATAAATCTAAAATCATTGAAAGAAAAATAGAAGTTGTAATAGAATAAAAAAAATAATTTCAATTTTGTTTTACCACAAATCTTTGTTTCTTACTTAAAAGAGAGACATGGATAGCACATAAAATTTATCGCTATCTTTAGTACAATATATTCAAATGCAATCCAATATTTTACGTATCGTTTATCATATGTCAAAGATTCGGCTAAGGATGGTGTTCTACTCAGAAAAAAAATATTGATTGATAATTCGGCAACAAGCATATGTTGCGCGTGTAGACGCGTCAACCAGTCACGAAAGTACAACGCAGTCACACATGCGTTACCTACGGCCCCACTAAAAAACAGGTTCCAAAAGAACCTGACCAAAAGTAAGTGACTATTAACGGTGGAATAGCTTTATAAAAATTTATCATCCCCAGTCTTAATAGTTCGTTCGAAGGACGGAGTATCTCGGTCGACGATGCCGATAATAAAATACCAATGAACGAAGTGAAAGAGGTTCCCCCCTTCCTTTGCTAGCGCGGGCTCTCTCTGCGCTTATAGGCCCGTAAAGAAGCGGCACACACGTCTCGATTTTACACGCTAATCCCTCCTACGTACGCGCATTGGTACCTGTCAAAAAATGGCGTTGGGGTGTAGGAATATCTTGTGAGATGGAGATGGGCGATCTCTAACAGAAGTTAACCACAACGCAGCAGGGCTGCGAGTGGCCAGTTTCAATGGACAATAGGTGTAGGACCAATGTCAGACTTTCAAAAGTCAATTGGTACTTAGAAAATATTCCAGAATTAAATATTCCAGAATATAATAAAACTTCCGATATTTGTTGCGAATGAACAAATGTTATATCAAAACTTGCGCTTTTGTAAAATCAATCAATTATATTCCAAAAATGTTAATCTTTACTTTGTTTTACTTAGTTACTACTTTTATATCATTTTAGAGTATCAGTATTTCTTTCAATATTTTCTTTTTCTTTTCTAAATATTATTATTTGTAAATTCACTAATTGACATAAATTTTTAATTGCAATAAATGTGAATTATTATCATTTCTAAAATATGAACCTCGCTATATTTATTTATAAATATAATCATTAATATTAATATTAATATTAATATTAATCATTAATTTTAGTTAAATTCTCACAGCTATCATCTTTGGCTTTTGTAATAATGCTTTTTAAGTAATTTCAGTAAATAATTACAAATATTATTGCAAGAAAAATACGTTAAAGAACTTATGTATTTGGAAACATTCAAAAAAAACCCTTAATATAATTCAAGATATAATCGTCTACGCCAGTGAGAAACGCAGGTCAGTATTACTGTAAGGATTTCGATGAGGACAAAGAGATCCTTTCCTTCCCCATCCTTTTTCTTACTTCAAGAACCTCCCTCTTCTGCCATACCTTGGCAGACCCGTCATTGCATTAATATAAGCGTGGCCGCGTCGCACCACCAAACAACGCAATGGCGAGCTGCAGCTGTCGGCTGCTCGCCCTTCACGTAGCTAATGCTTCTCCAAACACACCATGCGCGGTACTTCGAGACACCACCGAAAACATACGACATTCTAGTATGGTATAGAGAAAATATAAATTTTAAAATTAAACTAATATAAATATCTTCTTTTATTTCATCTGATTTTCTTCAAATATTACTATTATTTACATTGACTACTTCTCTAAAAATATTTGATTTATTACAGCATTGTATTTATATAAGTTGATAAAAATTTTGAACTTTAAACATAGAAGACAACTTTGTACATATAATTTATATATAAACCATTAAATGTTAGATATTTGTATAATTATGTATCAAGTTTAGGCAAAATGTTATTTTTACAATAATGTTGCATTTATTTATTTGTTTACTCTTCTTTTTATCAAAGGAGAACAGTAAATCTAATTATCTAAATGTTCAATATACTAGACTTAATCTGAATATTATCTATGTTATCAGTTCAATTTATATTTTACTTTGATAAAAAATATTTAATATTACAATAAAGCAGCTTTTTTTCGTATGTTACAGAGGTTCGTTAACGCTATTGTCGTGACTCATGTTTGTGGCGATTCTTTTCTTCCCGCCGAATTAAGGCGATGCCAATGCTCTTTGCGGTGGGCCGATCGTTTATTTGTGTATTTTTTATTCAGTGTGCATAATTCTCGACTTCGAAGTGCATTCCATCGAATGCAATGAATTTCGCCATTAAATACACTAAAAGCGAGTTAAATCAGTCATTTATTAACTGTGTGCGATGATACAAATTTTTTTATTTATTAGTGAAGTGTAAAATTGATGTATGCAGTAAGAATGAAAGAGTCATCTACGGCTGCAAAATCGTGCAGTGATACAGTTCTTTTTTTTTTTTTTATTAAAAACATATGTGACGATTTATAGAAGTGCGAATAAAATAGAAGCGAATTCGAATCTCGACCAACGCAGTGCTGTGCAGTTGCACGTGATTGATATGTGGATATTTGATATTTTGAAGCTTCAAGTTGTATCGAGCAGCATCACGATTAATTTACTTACAACGATCGCCGATCTTGTAGGTACGCACAGATTCACTAACTGCAGATCGTTGCGACTCTCATGCAGCGTGACTCTTCCGTTCAATTTTCCCTGAAAGGCCATCAAATTCTTAAGACGAAGAAAATTAATAGAATTAGCCGTTGTATTAAGAATTTCAGTTTATTTTTGTATATAAAGAAGTTTGTATATTTACTTTGATCTCGAATTTGTTTTAACAAAACTTAAAATTTTGCGTAAAATCACAAAAATAGAATAAATTCTATTAAATATTAAATAATTAAATATTTTATATTGTGTATATAAATATATATATCTAAAATGTTTTTTTTAAATTAGATTTATCAGAAGCATTTGAAATAAAGTTTGATTTTATATTTATTTATAGCATTAATTTTTTTAATAATATTTTTATTATATTTTATATACTTGGTGTATATTTTTTATTTTTGTAAGTTGGTTATTTTTTATGCATAAGTATTTGCAGAATATACTCTATGTAATATGATTAATCATGAAGATATAATTCCTATTCTTAGTAGTTATTAATGTCGTTTTTGCTAGTATATTTATAAATATAAAAATAAATTCTATAAGATAAATTTTTAATAATTATTTAGTATAGGAAAATTTGATTCAATAATTTTGATATGTTGTCAAGATCATGGTATCATAAATATATGTTTAATTACATCATTTAAACTTTACATATTATTCATATATTTATTAGATATTTATATATTTAAATAAATATCTAGATAAGAAGAAGCTTTATTCTTGTCATCTGAAAAATTTTATTTTTAAATCAAACCAATCATTAAATCAAACAAATCAATAATTTTTATTTTAAATTAAAAATAGGTTTGGATTAGAAGTTATAACTATAGTTATAACTTTTTTAGAATGAGAAAGAAAGAAGATCTTCTCTTTTTTCATTATTATGATGAAAATAATATATTTCCAAAGTTTGGCTATTTATTTCTGAAAATAGCTTCAGAACACAACAAGACTTATTTAATTACAATGCAATTTTTGAGAAATATTTTAAATCTATCTGCATTACAATTTATTTTTTATAAATATAACTGTTTATTATTTAAATAATTTACTTACACATAAGCAAATCCTAATTATAAAATTAGAAATTCTACTAATTTGTACAGCAATTCTTTGTAGACTAAATTTAAACAGCCGATATGAAGCGGATACCATCATTATAAAAGAAAAAAAGATAAGAAGAAAAAAGGAAGCGAAAATAAAAACAATAAGATCGAAAGGCAAGGGAAGGTACTTGCAGACTGTCGAATAGTCGGTACTAATGATCTAACCACGTGGGGTGCATCAACGCCGGTCGGCGTTGTAACCTGGCTAAGTGAAAATACGCGTAGATCCTTCGAAGATACAAGCCCTGACCGCCAGTTCTCTCTTCATGTAGTCTAACTATATAGGAGAAACAATAAAAGCATCAACTCGCAGACATAATCCCGCAGGTTCTATCATCATACACCATCTCCTATATATATATATATATATATATATATATATATATATATATACTACACACG